TGTGTTTTGACAACTATATATAGTTAATCTACGTTAGAACCAATTAGAACTAGGATCAGTAGTAAATTAAGAAACTTTTGTAAAAGATTTAAACTAAATTGTAAATCGCCATAACTATAGACCGAGTTTTCTAATTAGGGATTTTCACAGCGTGCGGTTTTAGCATATGACTTTTTTTTAATAGGGAATAAATGAACAAAATGGCGGTTTTGTTTAATTAATTATAAGAAGTTTTTCGTTGTTTTAGTTTTTGTAAACTACTTTAATTGACGAATATTGGATAGTTTTTGTTAAAATAACTTGTATTACAAAGATATTAACACTATCAAGTGGTTTTGTTTTTCATATTTATGTTACGACAACGTTAATACAAAAAAAAATGGAGATAGAACTTAAATAAACTAATATTAAACAATACTTTGTTTTAGTCCAATCTTTTTAATTTCCATATATCAGACAAACGGATACATTTTTTATGAGATAACATTTCATTAATTTAAGTCAGCCCACCGTCTCAGTAATACAGTATAGCATTCATGAAAATTAATGCAAAAATATAGTATAGTATTCATAAAAATTAATGCAAAAAGTGGTAAGTTGGATTTAAATCCAACTTACCACTTTTTGTATTAACTTAACAATATCCAGTGTTGTTTTATATTATTTTTATTTTTATCTATCGGAAGTTATTAATAACTTCCGATATATAATAATAATAATAATTGAAGCTGTGTTCTTGAGAGTCTCAAGAAAGAATCTAACAACTGTAGATGTTAGTTTTTAACAACTATTTTTCGCTAAACTTTCTAAGTTTATTTTTAAAATCAACTACTGAATTAGCGTTAACAACTTCACTGTCTAAACGATTCCAATTTTCAACTATACGGTTCGTGAAAAAATGATGCCTCGGCAAAAAGTTTTGAACATACTAGCCTACCTAATACTTCTGGTTCACGATGCCAATTGATAGTATCAATTTTTTTCATGAGTTCGTATATATAATATAATATTAATAACTTCCGATATATAATAACTTCCGATAGATAAAAATAAAAATAATATAATACAACACTGGGTACTGTTAACAATCTAAATCGTCAAGAAACTCATGCTATTATTTCATATCATCTCAAAAGTTTCCTACTTAAAGAATAATTTCAAAATCCAAAATATGTTATTTATTTATTTTATTAATTTATGTTATTTTCTTCATTATAGAACAATAAACCATTAAATAAAAGACTTGAAAAAGCTAATGCAGAAATACAATCAAAAAATAAAATATAATTTGCATATAAAAGTAAAAGTTCTTAAAAATTTGAAAATCAATTATTATTACAAAGTTACCAAAACCTAATACACTAACCATTAATAAAATAATCCTTCATAATTAAAATACCTTTTATCTATTGGAATGTACTATGTATTATTTGATATTACAAGTCGATATTTACTATTGTGCATTAAAATTGTAACAGCACTGGTAATTGAGCTTTAGATAAAACAACTAAATATATATATTTTTAATTTGTCTTCATGCATTAGTAGTAATGGGTTATATTTTACTAGTTTCCAAAAGCACATGTAACATTTTTTGTTGCATGAATTGCATTTTTAGTGACACTTTTTGAAAAAGCTGACCTTCATTGAGATTATCCTATTTATGAAAATTTTTCATAAATATGATAATCTTAATGAAGGTCAGCTTCAAAGAAAAGATTTACCAAAATATTTTTCAAGAATGGACATCCTCAAACTGAAATGCATATAGACTGTACACAATTTAAAGATATAGATATAGATAAAAATATAGACTGTACACAATTTAAGGTTCAATCTGCAATTTTTAATTTCAACACTCTTAATTTTTGCCATTACAAAAATACACAAACAGGAAAAGTATTATGTTATTTGATACATAATTGTATTTAAGCATATGGGGAAGTTGTCTTTTTTTCAGCAATATTTCTATATCTATATTATTAATATCAGATAGTGAAAAATAGTGTGTTTCGTTATGCTTTCAAACTTTTTCTTGTAAACAACAAAAAAATCAACAGTTATTTTGATTTCTTTTGTTTAGTCATGCATCTGATTTAGTTTTTTAAACTTTTTTAAAATCTATATATTCAATAGGTTCAGCAGCGTATATTTTCTCAATGTTAACATTTATTTCTGTTAAATCTCATTGTATATGTTACTAAATATCGTAAATAGATTGTAAAGATAATAAATTGTTTTCTTTGCTTCAACCCACTTCTTTTTATTATTTATATAATAATTTTAGTATAATAATTTTTTTAGTACATTTTTCAGCAGTTAATTTTCTTTTTGGAAATACATATTTTGTTTTTATTTATGTTATTTTTAGAAGCAGTATAAATTTTTCTTTCCATTGTTCAACATTTTTTTGAAACCAACAATTCAAAAGTAAAACTGCAGCAAGACAAAATTGTTCCCCATAAGATTTTTATAACTAACAAGCAACGTTAACGCCAGGTTAAACAAAACTCGTTTTAACAGTCACAACTTTTCTGGCAATTTTCTGTCCAAAACTGCATTCAATTTTTAATAACTGCATTAATTTTTCTATTTTGAATGCATTCTCATATATTTTGAAGTATACTTTTTTTAAATAAATGAAGTGATAGAAGGGTGCGTTGAGTCTTTTATAGTTAAAGAGGTAGTTAAAGGCGAGATACTTGTAGAATCCAAGCAAAGTTTTGAGTACAAAACGTCTTTTTGCCTTTCACTTTAGTTTTTAAGCAAGAAAAGAGTACTGTTTAAATTTATTCTGATCCGTAACTCGTGTAAAGTGCAACTTGTAGATAAGAAATGGTCTATTAATCATTTTATACAATTGTTTTCTATTTCAAAAATAATCCATTGTATTTAATTAAATAAGAAGAAAGGTAAAAGCATTCTGGTATCAATTGAGATTGACATCGTTTTTGTTCATTTATCCCCTATTAAAGATGGTTTCGAAATCTCATACGCCAAAACCACCCCTTATGAAAGTCGCTTTAAATATACTTTATATGTATACAAATTTTATTAACAATATCTTGCTAATAAATCCGCTTTAGGTCGTCCATATAGTACGTACACTTTTTTCTTGACTCCCCCCCCCCCCCCCCGCGCTTTTTGCCATACGCTTTTTTGAGTACCCTTAACCTCCATAAAACCAACGTTTTTAACTTACCAAACCAACATTTTATGTAATTTTTTTAAATTTAGTGTCTCGATACTACCCCCTCTTCCTCTCCGAGCGTACGTACTTTATGGACGATTCCTTATATCTATAAAAATTTTATCAAGAATTATGTAACGTGTAGTATTTTCCTTTGGGGAGGGGTTCAGGGTAGAGGGTGGTGAAAGGGGATGCGAAAGGGGTAAATATTTTTTTTATTTTCCTTTGTATAAGACACGAATATATAAAATTTAAACAAAGATTATTAGATATTTTGATAAATTAATAAACAAAAAAAAAATTTTAATTAATTATAAAATACCATAAAATTATGTATATTTTTAATAGCGAGCAACTATTGACATTAAATGTTAACGAGTCGTGTTATTAAGAGAGTGTACTATAGAGAGAGAGTGTCAACAACTAGATTTTTACGGTTATTTTTTTAACTTAATTAAAAGCTAAATGTTCAAATAACATTATCAGCAGTGTAAATTAACAAAATATGTATGATACATAACTTAATTTGTGCATAATGACAATATTATAAATATATATATATATATATATATATATATATATATATATATATATATATATATATATATATATATATACTATTATTATTATTATTATTATTATTATTATTATTTAAGGTGCCCCAAAAATCCTTACGGTTTTATTACAAAGCACCGCAAAAGTGCATTTTGAAAGGAAGCACACGCCTCCTTCCTTACCAATGTTATTAAACTTGCCTAAAGGTGGCAAGCGCGCTAACCGCTAAAGATTTTATCATCGCAAATGCCTAATAAAATATATTTTTTTTATCCCCCCATAAGAAAACATAAAACGTGTATGTATAAAAAAACATTTTCATTCTCAGGTCACACAGTGGGAAATGGTGCTGAAGACAAAAGCAACAACATATATCCATTATATAACAATATAAAATCTTCTAAAACTAATTATCCCAAGAACATTTATTAAGACGACTATTTAGTACAAATATCGCTAAAAGACGTTCTAAAACACACTCTTGAAAGACTGTGTAATTTACATTGTAAAAGCTCCTGTGTTAACCACAATACTTAAGGAACTAATTAAACTGACGTTTAGATGCAATGCTGGATTTCATGGTGCTACAAAATAAAGTGTTTACAAATAGGTAGGGGAAAGTGGAACACAAATTTTTATTTTCAGGGTAATTGCAATATCTTTTTTAATTGATGTATGAACTGAACCAAACTAGTCTTAAAAAATAAAGCAGTATTTGGGGCACCGAATCCACCCTCTAAGGTTGACAGAATGTTTTAATAAAGTATATATTTTTTGGGTTTAGAGGAACCCTGCTATTGGGGTAAAGTGGGACAAGTGTGGGAGAAGTGGGACAAGTGTGCGGGAGAAGCGGGACATTTGGATGAGATGTGGAACTATATAAAAACGACTTCAAATCTAATTAAATGTTAATTTGAGCAAATTTTGATTTTAAAATTAAGTTTAGTTTAAATTAAACGCGGCAGTGGTGTAGTGGTAGAGCGCTTGGCTTATAAGCAAGAAGTTTGGAGTTGGAATCCCACCACGTCCCATAAGGTACCACGCTCAACTTTCTCCGCACAGCGTGCTTTGTTCGCAAAGGTTCGTGTCTCCGAGTTAAAAGGTTTAAGAAAGGATTGTAACCACAATAAGAAAAATATTTAAAAATGCAAAAAAAATGCGCAGCCTCCTCGCCTGAGTTGGCCCCCTTGGAGAGGTAAATAATAGGAAAAAAAATCAATTTATCAATGCCTTTTTCCATCAAATTAAGATCACATTTAAAGAATTAAAATTTATATGTTGAAAAAAGAAAAAAGTTATTTTACATTTAAGATGCCAAAGTTCACTTGAAAAACGATTTCAGCTTTTGTTCTTGATGTTGTTCCAGCAAGCGGTTGAGGCAGGACTGCTTTTATATCATTAATATTGACACTACGAATGTCATTAATTCTAGGTTTGACAAATTTAGAAGTTTTTTTATTCCGGCATTTCAGGAAGCTGACCTCTACATTAAAATTTGTGTCTATTTCTTTCTGCACTATGCCTACATAATAAGAAATGGTGTTTTTACTACAAATCTCGCAAAGAACATAATCATTGACACTCACATTTTGAATAGTGCTTAAAGAAACAGTTTCCAATTCTTCTTCAAATTCTAGCGAGTAACAATAAGCAAAAACTTCATTTGTTATTTTGTTGAAATCTACATCAAGGTCACTGTTCGATTTGCATAACATGTTTTTCCTCACATTTTTGGATTGTAGAAAGACAATTTTTTTACCTTTTTTTTTATTTAATATTTCATCTTTTATTCTTAAAATCTCTGGTGTTGATGTGGCTATCATACACTTTCCCTTTTTATGTCCACGCCTTAAAATCTTACGAGAAGGTGCCTGCAAAATATATATTATAGTATTATATAACTATAGAATTTAAAGAAAACCTAAACTAAGAATATTTAGTTTAAATTACCTTAGGATAACCTCGTACAATCTCAGGAGAAAATACAGTTAAGTTTTCTTTTACTGCTTCATGTTGCGCATCCAAACCTGAGATATCTGAAGGAGTAGCAGTTGTAATCAATTTCTCACATGAGCCTTCACTGTATGATTCTTGAGGCACATCTCTATCTGTTACAACTGATGGTAAAAAAATATTATCCCCATATATATGTCTATCATAAGGCCAAATTCCGGTCACGCGAAATCCTGACATAATATTTGATGGTGTGGAAGATTTTTCCCATGCTTGTCGAATGAGACTGGCCATCTCATAAATTGTAATGGATTTTCCTAGATTGCTAAGCATCCAGCTATTGGCAGCTGCATTAAAATATGTTTTCATTGGGCCAAAAACAGACTTATCTAAAGGTTGTGTCTTATGTGAAATATGTGGTGGCAAAGTCATCATATAAACATGGTTCTCTTTTGCATATTCAAGTGACTGTAATGAAAGGTGGCTTTCATGATTATCCATAATCAATAAAACTTTGTGATCGGCTGTTGGACAAGCAAACTTAACAAAATGCTTTAAAACATCAATAAATATTTCAGCATTCATCCATCCAGATTGATTGGCTAATCCAATAGAACCTTATGGTGCTCCTCTCACTAGTGGGTTTCTAAATAATTTTCTTGGAAAAACAATAACAGGGGGTATTGCTACACCAGCTGCAGAGACAATGCAACACACTGTTACTAATTCACCTCTTTCTCTAGATGTTATTTGCCCCACTTGCTTTGTTCCCTTTGATGCAATGACACGAGGAGTTTTTTGTACAGTAGTAAAACCTGTCTCATCAAGATTAAATATTTTAAACTATGTTGCTTTAGACTCTGGTATATCAGAGTTCTTGTAATTTGTTAAAGAAAATATCAATAGTATACCGATTAAATGCTGATGCTCTTGCCATTGAAGTTGCGTCTGGTTTTCTAACAGATAGTTTTGGGTTTCTTTTTAAAAACCCTGTTAACCAATCTCGACCAGCCTTTTTTTGCTCTATCCAACGCATGGGACATTTTATTTTGTTTGCTTGAGCCATTTCAAAAGCTAGAGCTCATACTTGAACTGGTGTAAGACCATATAACATATCAGAACATGTCTTTAGATAAGTGCTCAGTGTTTCTTCTTGTGCAACAGAGAAAATCATAGAATGTTGATAACTTGGTTGAAGATTAGCAGCTGGGTATTGACACTTTTTTTTAATACACCTATGAAGTGCAGACGTAGAAATGCCAGCTGAACATGCTGCTTCTCTAAGGCTCATCCCATTTTCCACTTCAGCTACAGCAACCTTCAAAATGTTTTCTGAAACATGTGGAGTTTCACTTTTCCTTTTATAAACTCTAGGCATGACCTGAAATTTAAAAGAAATTAGGTTTGTTTAAAAAAATATTTATATTTAATGGTATTAAGGTTACTGTTAATACTATATCTTTTATCAGACTATTACGAAATTATAATTGTATTTAAGATTACAAAAACTTTTATGCATGCCTTTTGCTTTCCAAATTTTTTTAAATTATCGATGTAAAAAGACCTCTGAATTTGCTCCAAACAATAATGATGAATCAAATCAAATTTATCTTTAATAAAGATCTCTCTTTACAAATTTTGTTTTAAATCAACTGTATAAGAACTAAAACTAAAACTAAATATTTCAATTAAACGTATCAATATTTTTATTTTGAAAACTATAAAAAATCGTAGCTAAAATGTTCTAGAAATTTCCGCATTAAAATAACGCAAAACTGTTAAGAAGAAGCGGAACAGCGACTTTTTTCTCTGTCCCGCTTCACCCCTATGTAGGGGAGACGAATAAAACTAAAATTACAGCCACACAGTTAAAGCTAAAATATAAATTTAATTACTAAATGTTAGATGATAAGTGCATTTCCCTATAAAATAGAAAATAAGTGCAACAACAGTCGAAAATAAATAAGTACACGAGTTACTAGGCTGTCAGCAAAAGTACTTTTTGGGAGTACTTTCAAAAAAAAGGGGTTTTCACCACGCGCAGGGAGGGGAAATGATGTCTAATAAAAAGAGCACATGAAATCTATACGTTTACATTAAATAACAGTAATTAGGCGCTGCTGCGAAATAAAATTACAGGGGTGTCCCACTTCTCCTGCGTCCCACTTCTCCCCACTCTCTCCTAAATCAAAATAAAATGTCTAAAGAATAAAGAGTGCTTGTTTAATACTTACATAGTACATATTACTTTAATAATACTTAAAAAATTTCAAATTTCTTAATTTTTAAATTTTTCAGGTACTAATAACAACAAAAATTTTTGTTCGCAGAGCTTTTGCCAACTATAAATCAATTGCCAAGATATTAAAAGTTGATAAAGCTCTTATATATATTATTTTTATACTATATTAAACACTTTGTTCTCGGAATAAAAATAGGTGCCACACAGCAACCCATAATTAGCAGATTTGTAATACATAAATTAGTACAATCGTTAATTTTCATTTTTGTTATTTACTTTTATTCATTTATTTTATCCTTGTTACTATTTTATCCTTATCCTAGTATTTAAAAAATATATATACACGTTTTGAACGTCTTATACACGTTTTGAACGTCTTTTGATCGTTTTAGACGTCTTTTAATCGTTCAAAAGGCGTCCTTTTATAGGTCCGGTGCCCATTGGGAAGCAGCACAAATTGAGTGCAATCTTAGCAAAAAGTAGCGAAACAAAAACGAGGCGTAAAAAAATAATAAGACAATAAGAGTTTAGTTAATTTCTTATTATTCAGAAATATTATATAAATGCTAAAATTCACTTTTAAAAGTTCTAAGCACATCAATTTTTTTTGTGAACAAGTTTTTTGTTGTATTTATTTAAAATTTATTTTGAAGGTTTGTTGTTCATAAATATAATTAAAAATGTCCGGATAGAAATATTTAAGTGGTAGTAAAAAACAAAAAAAAATAGAAGAACAGGTAAACCCATTATTGAAATTTCTAAAATCAAACAGCTTTTCCAATACAACGCTGTCAAAGTAGGGTAATCATTCAAAGAAATGTTTGGAAAAAGGAAGGACATACTGCTAAGGACAATGCAGAGCCGACGACACCAAAGGGGAAGGGCACGTGCAACCCCCCCCCCCACACACATACACACAAATTTTTTTAAAAGACCTTTTTTTTTCTTTTTTTTTCAAAATAATAAATGTATCAGACTTTTTTTTTAAATTGTCGTCGGCCCTGCAATATAGATACCGAATGTCGAGCCGAATCTTGTTCAGAACTAGTGCTTCCAATACCAATACCATTTTTCAATACCGGTTTTTCGGTACTGAATAATTTCAATACAGGTAATACCGGTATTATACCGGTATTAAACTTTTTTTTAAATTTATCATAATATGAATAAAATCTCAAGTTAATAGTAAAAATTTCATTGATTCAATAAGCTTATTTATTTTATATCAAAATAACTAACTTTTTCATTTTCCGCTTTTTTCTCCTTTGTAAAATGAGCCCGTAAAAAACATAGGACGTTGAGAGTATCATCCTCAATAGATGATCTAATTTTGTAATAATGTTGCCACTCGCTGAAAATTTACGCTCCAATTCAACATAAAATGTCAACAGTTTTTGAACTAAATCAATGCATTTTTCAGCAGGCGACGAACCAACAACTCTCGCTAATCCAAGATTCCAACGTAAAGGGTGTTCAATCTAGAGAACAACAAGTTTTCGCGTTGATTTTGTAATAAATTGGTGATTAGAGGTTTGGATTTTTTGTCCGTTGATAACGGTACCAATAAAAAAAAACCCGATGATGATGCTGCATCTTGGGACAGTTTCCTATTCAGCAAGTCAATTTCATGTTTAGTTTTTAGATGTGTATTCAGTACACTGGTACTCCACCATTTGATTTTATCTCTTTTTTGCATTTCTTACACATTACAAGTTAATTTTCTTTATCAAGCAGAAAGTAAAACCACGCAGAACTTTCACCAACTCGTACAATGCTGAACGGTTTGAATACTTTTAAGGATGTTTTATATTTTTCTGGATATAAAGGTAATTATATCTATTAGATATAAAATCTTGATTTTAGTTCTTAATTCAAAATGCATAAAGTTAAGTAAGCGTAACTATAATTGCTGTTAATTCAATAACTTTAAATTTATAAGTTACACTATGAAAAACGATTAATATACTATCATCTTGACATTTTTACTAAATTAAAAATGTTCTCAACTGTAACGACTTCAAACTTTTCATATTTACGTTAGTGCAAAACTCAAACATGGGATCTGCGTTAAAGCAAGTGACGTAATGATAATATTTCAAATCAGTGCTTTATTAATAGAAGGAAGACAAAATTTTACTTTGAAATTAAACAAGTTTTACCTATATTTTTAACAATAATTTTTTTATAAAAAATATTTTAACATTTTATTTTTATTTACTTATTATTTTCTCCATTCCAAACTCTTTAGCGAGCCTGATTTTATACTCTCATTACAAGATGAACAAGCTCGGTGGAAAATGAGCTAGCGACTAGCCAGCAAATATCTAGCTAGTCGCTACCTATGAATAAAAGACGCGTTTAAGAAGTAATATAGTTAGTAATACGTGTTTTACACGTTTTAATCACGTTTTTTGTCATTTAGCTATCTTTATCCCATCAAGAGCATTGTTTATCGCAACTGAAAGTTTTAAATATGTCATTTAATTTTGTATTTCGCGAAAAGAGGGCTTTCCCATCTGCGATATCATAAGCCCTCTACATATATTTTTAATACCGGTATTGAGCCAAACCAATACCGGTATTTCGGTACTTAAAAAAGTCCGGTACTGCTGGTATTGGAAGCACTATTCAGAATAGAGACAAGAGCTGAATACAAGAATAAATAGAAAAATTGTCTAAAATTACTGATATTATTGATGTAAGAGTAAATTATAGCGATATAGAATATGGGCCAAAGTTAATTAGTTCTGAGTTTTTCAAATTATTTCCCCATCAATAAACAGCAAATTTGGCATCTAAAGGTTATAAATATTGGAAAAACATAAGAAAAATTATTATGTCCCATGAAGAATCTGATGACCATTAAAAAGCCATGATGATCTACCTCACACGAAAGTCAAATAAGAGCACAATAGATATAAAAAGAACAGGCTACTAAAACTACAAAATTTTTCTATAAATTTTTAGAACGGGTAGTAGGAGCATAGGAGTAATAAAATTTTTATCTGAAAAAGGATTGCCACTACAAGATCATAACAAAAATTGTGACTCTACACAATGGAAATTTAATGAACCTCATAGAACTGATTTCAGATTTCGATCCTTTCTTAAAAAAACATCTAACAAGTTGTCAAACTTCGGCGATGGAACCTCTATTACCTTAACCAAAACTGTATATAAATAGATTGTGCATCTCATGGAAAAAAAACTGTATATAAAGAGATTGTGCATCTCATGGAAAAAAAAACTATATATAAAGAGATTGTGCATCTCATGAAAAAAAACTGTATATAAAGAGACTGTGCATCTCATGAAAAAAAAACTGTATATAAAGAGATTGTGCATCTCATGGGGAAAAAACTGTATATAAAGAGATTGTGCATCTCATGGAAAAAGAAATTTTAAAATGATTTATTGAGCAGATAAACTCGACACCCTTAAATATATATTTGGTGAAAGTTCTGAAAAAGTAGAATGTTAATTAGAGGAAAAAGGTTTATATAAAAGATTTACAATGCTGTTTTAACTGTAATATGGGAAAAAATCTTAGAACGATTTAATAAAGTTAACAAAATAATACAAACTTCTGGGTTTAGATATATGCAAAGGATACACTTTACTCCATTAACTGGATTTATATATAAAACCTTTAGGTGAAGATTCTGAGCCGAAATTAAAAGATTTTAAGATTAAAGCAGCTGAAATGGATCCAGAAGTCGAAGAAAATTATAGTGATACGCATGAAAGAGTAAGAACTAAAATATATTCAAATGGAGGAAAAAGGAGAGATATTTTTACTGGAAGGGATAAGTTTTGTATAGAGGTATTTAATGTTTTGTTAGATAAATTAGGGGCTGAACTTGAAAAGAGAAGTGTTGTATGTAAGGATATTGGAGATAAATTCATATTTTTGATGAACCTGGGCAAAGGAGGTTCAGTTATTGAACTTTAATCAATGAAGTCCGTTATATTATTATCAAAAATAATATTGAAGAAGAACTATTTAGTAAATGCCGTCAATTTCAGCATTATTCATGTATTGTATGCATTAAACAAATAATTGTTTTACGGCACCGATATGTTGAAACTAGTTTTTGATGAAAATCTTATTGATATATTTCCGAACCTTTATACAGTTCTTTAAATTTAATTAAGAATACCTATAACGAGTTGCAAAGTGGAGCAGTCTTTTTCAAAAATGGTTTATATAAAAAATAAATATAGATCAGCAATGATGGATAAAAGGTTAAACAATCTTTCAATTCTGTCAATTGAATATGGTATTACAAGATCAATTTCCTACTATGAAGCAATTCGTGAATATGTACCAGAAGAGAACAACTTTTTAAGTTTGTTGTTGTTATAATTAATTATAATTATGATGAAGTCATATTTATCATATAACTATGATAATGATATATTACATAAAGTTTTATGTAAATGATATTTTTGGGGCGTTAAGTTAGGGCCCGAAAAAATTTGATCAGCCTAGGGTTTCCAAAAACCACGATCCACCTCTGGTGTCAATGTTTTTTTTTTTTTTTTTTTTTTTTATTTTAATTCACCTCCTCAAGGCCGAGAAGGCCACTACAGACGAGGAGGCTACTTATTTGTGGTTATAACCCTCTCTCAACTCTATAACTCCGAAACACGATCCTTGACGAGCAAGGCCGCTGCGCGGAGAAACGAGTTGAGCGCGGTACTACCAGGGACGTGGTGGGGATCGAACTCGGAACCACTCGTTTATGAAGCGAGCGCTCTACCACTACACCACTACCGCATACCACTACACCACTACCGCATGTTACCCACTACGCTCTACCACTACACCACTACCGCATGTTACCCACCTGTCAATGTAACTCCGTGTTACCTTACATCTAATTTAAAATTTAAATCATA